TTATATGACACTAGTAAGATCAAAAAGCGACCCACTTGACCACAATGATATTAGCAAAGTTTGCTTTTCTAATCTATATAAAATCATAAGCCACAAACGGTTTCAGGCTTAAGGCGTTTTTGTAATTATGCTTAAAGAATTCATGAAAGCAGTATTAGAAATTAGAAGATGTGATCCAGTAACAGGCATTTCAGCGTTAGACTGAAGCCTGGGCAGGTGTCAAACTTTTCCCTCCCTGAGTCCCAGAGCAGGACAGAGCAAGCTGCTTCCTCAGCCCAGAAACTGTCAGCCCCAGGGGCCTACACAAAGTTCTCAAGGCTGTAGAGATACCAGCTTGGATGCCTTTGGGGTTAAGGTCCTGGCTTAGGTTTGCGAAAAGAACCCTAACTTTACACTAATCAGCCAGTGTCCAGTCACCGGGCCCTGTAGAAAACTCTGTGAGCCACGTAAAAACAAACCCACTGGTGCAGGCACACAGGGCACACTCGGGGTTCCACGCAGAGGACAGCATCATCAGATCTACATTTCCAGTGCATCTCTGTGGAACTGTGTGAAGAACAGAACTGAGGAGAGACGAGGCTAGTGGCATAGACAGCAGCCTGGAAGCCCAGGTAGAGGTGATGATGCCTAATTCACGCAGCGCAGAACAACAGGACTGGGAGAGGAGGAGGGGTAGTGAAACCAAAGACCTGAAATCTGATGGGCGGATGGATGATGTTATACATTCCCAGGCCTCAAAAGTACAAGTGAGAAAAGCACACTGACTATGCCACCGTCTCACCCCTGAAACAAATGAGCAGGAAGAGGAGCCCTGACATCAACTAGGAGCTGCTAAGGTTTCACTCCACTGAGCCCGGCTGTGCACAGATGGGGGAGCAAGTTGCCACACCCCGCTTCCATCACTAGTGTGAGGTTCTCTGCATCTCCCTCCCAGCAATCCTACGAGGCTACGGGGAGTAAGACCGAAGGCTTCTGGAAACTGAAAATAAGAAAAATCAAAACTAAAATCAGAAAAAATAATTCAAATCTGCAGCAATCCTGGCTGCAAAAGAATCAGGCTAAGTAAAATCTATCGTGCTGGAAAAGGTCTCAAGTCAGCCAAAGTCTCCAGAAAGAGTTTTTAACGTAATGTGAACATCTGGCGTCTCCTCAACTCTGGGCCACACATGACAGCGCCTTCTCTTAGCAACTACTGTACCAGCAATCAAGGTGAGGAGAGAGAGGCCAGGGTAGAGAACAGCTGCCTTAGAGCATGACCCGCAGCCCAGCAAGAGCCCACCCCCACCCCAGGTAGATGATAAACAAATGTCCAATGTAAGTGTGACGTCATAACCAGACTCGTAGATATGGGGATTCTAAGTCACTGGTAAAAAGATTGAGAAAAAGAGAGGCAATCAAATTATTAGAAAGAACATACTGTACACTGTGAGAACATAATATGGCAAAGGCTTTTTGGATTATAATTTGGCAATAACTACTACAATTTTATATGTTTACATATTCTTTGACTCAGAAATTTCACTTCTAGGGGAAAATATGGGAGCCATCTAAATGTCTGTGATTAAAATAGGTGCAGGGCCGGCCGAGTGGCGTGATGGTTAAGAACTGGCTTGGGACGCCAGAGGGCCCCGGTTCGGGTCCCACATATGAGGGCTGGTGACGCTGCCCTCCACAGCTAAGATGCTGAACAACAACTCAACCTGGAGCTGGGCTGCCGTGGGTTGCCGGCGACGGCGTAGGCTGCAGCCCCTGTGGCAGTGGGTTGCCATGGGCTGCCGTGTGTAACCAGCAGCCAGCGTGAGCGGCCAGCAGCCGCAGTGAGCGGCCGTCCAGAGGCCGGCGACTGATGTGCCTCGCCTGGGAAGAGCGCAATGATGGTGCCAACTTGGGCCAGTGAAGCGATGTCCTCCACAACTAGACTGAAGAACAAAACGACAGCAACTTGTCTGTTCCCCTTCCCCCAATTCCCCAGCACTGTTCCCATCCCCCCAATTCCCCAATAAAAATCTTAAAAAAAAAAAAAATAGGTGCAGGACTTCCAAACAGTGTGGTACCAAACAGCAGCTTATTATTTTAAATAAATAGTTGCATTTTCTAGCACAGAAATGCCCCCAAATCTACCCAAAGAGTATTGTGAAATGGTATATAAACATGACCCCATTGTGTATGTTTTTAATTTACATGTTACAGAGGAATCTCACAAACATAATGTTGAACAAAAGAAAACACACACAAAAAAGTACATACTGAATGAGCTGCAAGTTATTTAAGGTTCAAACACATGCAAAATAAACCTTATAAATAAATATAATTTTTAATTGTCTGGAAGATTTTTTCCCCCCTTTCACAGCATCCAAAAGACCTATAGATTTACACAGTAAGATTCTAGTGTAAGAACTCTGGGAGCAGCTCATAGAAAGATAAAACTTGTCACTTACAAAAAAGAGTCTGAAATCTCCTTCTCATATATATGGTCATAAGCTAAGAATCCAGCAAAGAACACACAGTCCCAGACATGGAGACAACCATGTTGAAAGACAACAGCTGGGAGTCAGTCAAGTTTCGCTAGGACCTGACGTCACATCCTTGAAATAGCAAATATATCCAAAAATGCAGCGAGACCATCTCAAAACCAGAGTCATCAGTTACCCCAGGGATCCCCGGTCTGGAAGGAGGTATGTCTCAGAGTCAAGTGAACCGCAGCATTGCCCCAAAGAAGCTCATCTCCCAGGACAGACTACAGCAATCTTCAACTACTAAGATCCGTGGAACATATTCATGAGGACAAACAGAAACACAAAGAGGCCAGAGAGAGATGGGGAGGTCGCGGGTGGGTTACTATAAGCAGCTCTGACTGATCCTCCTCGAGTCTCCCAATTTTACCAAAGCCGGCACAACTCACTGTACTCGGTCACCCCACTGACTACGAGCATAAGGTGTGGGGAGAGGTGACAGGAGGCTTCTCCAGGCCCTGACTTCCTTCCTCAGGATACGAGTGTCTGATACAGTCACATTTCAAGACCACTCATCTTTGGGCCTTACAGAGGTCATCTGGCTAAATATCACAGCTAATGCTGACATCCCCTTGCCTGCTCTTCCTGCAGGGAGAGGAGAAACTGACGTTACACAGGGTGAGGTATATGAAGAAGGCAGGCTGAACGCCTGGCCTCTGGGTGCAAGTTCACCATGGCAGGAACCACAAGGGCGCTGAGTGAGACCGGGAAAACCCTACACCTGTCCGCACATAACAGTGATGGAATAATCTTAGTTCCGTTCGGATTTTGTTCATCAACTGAATTTTTCTTTAATTAGGAAAATTCCAAATCAAACATTTTAGATGTCTAAATAGAATTTCCTTAATGAATTAACTTTAAAGTAATAATGTTTTTATATTGCTAAATCAAAGATTTCTATTAAACAGAGCAGTGTGCTAAAGTAGACAAACATAGGCACTGGGAACAACAGGACATAGTGACACCTGAGTACATACATCACACAGCTATATGACCTGAAGACAAGTCACAGTTCTCTGGGCTTCAGGATTCTAGGCAAAAAGAGGCATGTGGGGATCTCAAAAGATCCTTTCCAGCTCTAAAATACTGTGATTCTAAGGTACGCCTGTAATTTCTCCTAGAAATACTAGCCAAAAGCAGTAAATAATTTTATCACCTCCAATAACACATTTGTAAGATTTCAGGCTCGCATAGATTCAAATAAAATACTGTATGCTAGTTTTGAACATGAAATCAAAATTTCCCTAGAAATATGCCATTCAAACCTCCACAAACCAACCTGCATCTGCAGGGTCTCCTTCCTTCCTATAAAAACGGAGCAAGACCCCTCTCAGTCAAAGGCCAGTCAATCCGTGTGTGTGCTCAGGGGGCCTCTTCCTCCCACCTCCCCAGGAAGCTCATTCCATCACTGAGCACCTCTCGCTCCTGTAACTTGAACTGTTCTTCTGGATCATTGTGGTCAGCATATTAACACGCTGGACTCTGCCATCTTTGAAAAAATGAAATAAGCAAAACCTTCCCTAGGCCCACCACTCTTCTGGCAGCAGCCTGGCGGCTCTACCCTCCTTCAACACCCAAGTTCTTCAAAGAAGGACCACCCGAATCCGTTCTCATCCACCTCCATTATTTATAAAGCAAGCCAGAAGGATCTTTCCAAACTACAAATCTAATCACATCACTCATCATTCTCATGTAATGAGAATGTAAGGTTGGAATCAAAACCCGGAAGGCGATGCCTGCAGGCCCCATGTTACCAGTGCCTGCAGGCCCCACCTAGTTAACGAGTCTCATCTCCTACCACGGTGCTCACCTCACTGCACCTGGGAGGGGACACGGCCTCTCCCCTCTCCCTGGTGCGCCTGCCAGCCCCTTCCCATCTCAGGGAGCTTGCCCTTTCCTGTCACAGGATGTCCCCTCTCACCACTACTCCCTCCTGCCTGGCCAACTCCTACTCTTCTTCAGGCCCACTTTAATCATGATGTCCTCATGGAAGCCTTTTGTTATGCGTTAGACCAACCTGGCCTTGTCATTTTGTCTGTTTTAGCAGCCAAGCTAAATGTTTGACTAGCATTTTAATTGATTGTTTCCTCTGTGGTTGGTAGGAAGGAAGAGCTTCTTCTACATCCTTGGGGGGGGAGGGGGAAAGCCCTTACAAAGACATCTAAGTCCGCTGCTGAGGCTGTTTTGTCAAGTTACCTTAATATTTACAAGTTATGAAACTCAATATTCTTTTGGCTAAACTGGTAGAGAGAACTAGAATTAATCATTACAAACCTATGCTCATCCTATGCTCAAACTACATGGCCAGTTTCTAATTCGTTGCATGTTTACACATAAACAAAACAACCAGAAAAGCTGATTCATTTCTTTATGAAAGGAGGAGTGGTCATCCCTCCAGAACGGACTCTGAGCCTGTATGTCTGTCACCCACTCGTCATAATTACATCTCAGTTCAACACAATGACCTTAGATGGTTTCTGGGCTCACCAATACTCGGTCTCCAAGTTTGAGCTCTCTTTCTCCTTTCTTGATGGAGCCAGCCTCTGAAAGGTTGGAGATGGATTCACTGGCAGTTTTTGTAAGGTTGCTGATCGGCGGCGTAGCTGAAGCTTCCTTGGCTGGTGGCTGGGACGATTTCTGAGGAACAGTTGAGGGGATGGCTGGGGAGGACGCCGCCATGCTGGCTGCAGAAGGGGACAGAGGCGAAGTCGCTCTGGAAGCGGGAGTCGTCTGCAGGCCGTTAGCTTCATCTTCAGCCTGCACCTTCCTCGCCAACTTTGAAGGTCGGGTGAATATGCCCTTTAAAGGTTCACATTGGAAATACCGAACTCCTGCCACTGACCCATCATTCTTTCCTATGGGTTCATCTAAAACAATTCCAGCCCACTGGCCTGGTGCAAACTGGGTTTCTCCCAGAAACTGGATAAATCCAGGCTTATTTCCGTTCACCCAAACTCGCTCCCCAACTCGAAAGTCATCCACAATCTCCTCTTGTGTCTCAGAGGTTGGAGCGCTTGATGCTTTTTCACTGGATATTGTTTTTTCTACTGGAGCTGCAACTGAAAACAGAAGAAAGGGGTCAGAAAGGATTCCATTTCATATTCAAGCAGACAACTCCTAACTTAAAAGAAAATAAACCAGAGAAAGCCAAGAGCAACAGTAGCCACAGCTCTTCTAGAGGTGTTTTTCCTTCTTCTTTTTTTTAGCAAAAAGGCAAAAAGTACTACTTGATCTATCACTACCGTTTTCAGTGCTGCGGGAAGTCAGTGGGCAAGGAAGATTTCATCCTTACTTGCAATTAAGATGGAAGAAGTCAAAACAAGAAAAAAAATCAGTCCTTTTCCCAGAGGTCATAACATAGGTTGATCTCACTCTCTACTCCACCCTCCTCCCCATACATCACGAGCAAATGCCCATTCAGATCCACTGAGATGGGCTCGGTCCCACATCTGAGGCGTCAATGAGAGCTGACAAGACTAGGACCATTTAACCAGAGTCGCAATCCGGCTGAAGGTGGGGTTCAGTGTTGCAGGCTCTATCATCATTATTCCACGACTACCTAATAAACCCTATTCCTTTGCTAGCAGAGATGGAAATCACAGCAAGGGGGAAAGGCAGCACCTGGCCAAACTCCCTGCTAAGGCAAGGTGACTGTGCAATCTAACCGAAGCTCAATTTTGCCAGAAATGTGATATTTATACTGGAAATGCATTCATGCATTCACTCAGCAAGCATTTTTTAAATATTTGGTATGAATTGGCAAAGAAAGCCCACATTCTAAATCACTTCATGATTTTACTAGGCATACTGTGATCTTAGGGTATTAGCCTCTCTGAGTTTCAATTTCTTCATCTGTAAAGGGAAAGTAATATCTGTCTTGAGGGAATTTTAAATGAGGATTAAACGAGATCATGTATTTATTCATGCTGCCCATGTTTTTTGAGATGCTGCCACTCTGCGACTAGTCCCAGGCATTGTTCTTTGCTAGGGGACAAAGCAAGACAGCACAGTCCATGCCCTCGTAGAGCTCAGAGTCTAGAAGCGAGGAGACAGGTAGTAAGTACAGAGACACAACAGGTAATTTCAGGTAGCCTAGGTGCTGTGGAGGAGACAGCGCCTTTGGGCAGAGCAGTCAGGGAAGGCCTCCTGGAATAGGTGACATCTGGCCTGAGGCCTGATGAATAGGAATCAGACATGCAAAGGTTGGGGAGCAATGTGGTCTGGCTGGCCGAGAGTGGGTGCTAAACATCTCTTTACCCCCCAGTTTTTATTTATGAAGGGTTTGTTTGTTTATTTGTTTTAGAAGAGAAGATGCACTCAGACAGAAAAGATAATAATCTGCCCAAGACAGGCGCCGGCCCAGTTGGTTCAGAGTCGGTTTTAGCTTCGTGCATCAATAACTCCTCTTTCCAGGTGCTGTAAGCATGAATTTCTAAAAACAACCTTCATAAAAGTGTCTCAAATTCCTTGGCAATCATTTACTTTTAAGCATATAAGTTTTAGTATTAATAAGCTGCTTTGCTCTTAAAAAAAAAATCTAGAGTGTACCAAGTACTGTTGTGGAAATCTAGTTGAATTGCTCATGACCCCTGGACTCAAGGACTTTATATGGTAAGGGGTGTGCCTAAAAAATGCTAGAAGTGAAAAAGACAATTCTAAAACACAACTGAGTACAACAGTAGAAGGCTTCGGGGAAAGGCTGGCATTTGAAGAGATCTTAAAAAGAGGAAGGATTTTGAAGGAAGGAGAATAGGGAACATCAATTTTGACTGCTTTCCTCAAAGTTCAACAGCCCTGAAACAAATCTATTTCTTCACAGTCCTTTGCTTTATCAATGAAGCTTTCCTCTCATCTAAGATGCTTTATGGTCTCTCTGATAAGAACCAGGTATTATCCTGATACATACAATGTAAATAACTTGGGATCTCCATTCAATCAACAAATATTTACTGAGCTCCTGTTATGTGCCAGGCAATGTTCTAAATATGTGGTGGAATACAGCCATGAAAAACAAACACACACACACACACACACACACACACACACACACACACACACACACACACACACAAACCCCCACGCTCATGGAAGACCAATGAGTATCTTTATGGAAGACTTTAAAAAATACTGTTGGACTGAATATATTACAGTGGGCACCTGTCTGGAACAACTGATAACGTAAGATGTTTACTAGTATATATAAATTACATTAAAAGACCATAAAAGCAAGCATTAGATGTCCTCTCTCCTGTCTCTTACTAAAAACTTAAGGTAGTCATTATGGGATGTAAACTGAAATGGTGGAGCTCGAGATGGAGAACAGATGAGGAATAGGCTGCTGACAATAATCAAGGGCATGGATTCATCTATAAAATGGGAAGGTTTCCTCAGGAGCCAGACTTGAGCCGTTGTACTGCCTGGTCCCTTGATGCCAATCGCCAACTTTAAGTCAATTAGTGTCATTACATCTTTTAAACCAGACTAGTCTTTGTTTTCTCTGCATATCCCTAAACCCCAAGAAGAAAGGTCCGGATGAGTTCAGAAGACACACGGGGAGAAAAAACTAAAGAAAAACCTTAACATTGTTAAGGGTCAAATACTGAAGTTACTTTACTTGACAACTATTTTAGCACCTAACACTGAATCAACTAAATTAAATACATAAACCTAAACAACAACAAAGTAAAGTCTTCACTGATTAAGACGTTTAGACATAACATTCTGTTCTCTTAATTAAAACTTTTCCAAATATGTTCAAGAATATGAAGTTTTATACAATTGTCTTTTTAAAATTTCCAAATTGAGGTCTTCGTGTAGGCTTGTAATGTATGTGCTGGAAAGGAGAACACGAAGAATTACCAGCAGCAGGTGGCCTCAAGGCTGTGCTTCCTGGCTTCAGGATCTTGGTGGGGACCTTCAGCCCGCTTGGCTTCAGCGTGCTCATTGTCCGTAGAGTGCAGAGTGGCTTTGCCTTTCCCTGTTGTCACTATCTTCTCCCAACCATTGGTACAACTGTGGGTGTTTCTATAGTGAAGTCAGTCTGGGGGCTAAATCTGCAAAGAGAAGAATATAAAAAGAGTTTAGAATCTACAGGAGAAAGAAGGAAGAAACAAGTCATTATTAAAGCGGCTTTCACAGCCTAAACTTTTCCTTAGATATGATAATAAACCATCTCCACCTGAATTTAGGATCCTAGGAAACTGTAGATATTAAAAACAGGAAATGCTGCTCAAACGGATTTAAAAGCAATTTACTATACTGAAAACAACTAGCTAACATTAGCAATATATTCACTTTTCTTTATAGTATCTAATAACACCAGCTCAGTGTCTACAAACACACAATCCACAGAAGAGGATTCAGGAAACTGTGCACCAAACTTAATGGGGGGAGAGGACCGGGAGCTTCCAGCTTTTACTTCATTTGCTTCTCCAATGCATAAATTTTATGACCATAAGCCTGTTTTAACTGTGTATCTTTTTAAATCTACAGAATTATGCAATACTCAATATAAAACCATGTACAGGTTAAAACAGAGAAGGGTTCAAACTCTGAGAAAAAGCCACATCTGGAAAATGCTGAAGGAAAATTATCTTTGATCTGTCTACAGAAACACAGTAAACTTCTGACTTATTCAAGACCATGTATGAAACTACAACTCTCGAACTCAGGCAAAATAGTATCTTGTCATATTCTCTTTAAGAGAGGAAGAAGACCTTGGATTTTGGAATATGGGATAACATTTCTAGACATAATACCTAAAAACAGAACAATTCAAAGAGAAAATGCTGCTGTTTATAAACTCTCAAATGATTGCATTTGCATTTTTCTGTGCTGGCACAGCTTGAACGGACCCTCGCTCTCTCATAAGCAGTGCCAACCATCGGCAAATGCTCTGACCAGGGTTCATAGAGGAGCTGGCTATGGGCCCTGTAGGTGGTTGAAAGGTGGCCTCCTCAAAAGATATATCCGCCTGGAACCTGTGAATGTGACCTTATTTGGAAAAACGGTCATTGCAGATGTAATTCAGTTAGGGAACCTGAGATGAGATCATCATGGATTACCTTGGTGGGCCCTAATTGCAATGACAAGTGTCCTTATTGGACGAGGAGACAGAGGAAAAAGCCATGTGAGATGGAGGCAGAGATTGCAGTGATGTCTATAAGCCAAGGACGACTGGCAGCCACTGGAAGCTAGGACAGAGGCAGGAGACAACACATTTCTGTTGTTTTTAAGCCACCCAGTTTGTGATAATTTGTTACAGCAGCCCTAGGAAACGAATACTAAAACCATGTAAGTTTTTCTGTTCAAAGATAATCACACTGAACGGAAATCAAAGCAGGACAGTTGCCTCATTAGGCTCACTCTCCAGAATCCCCATGGTTCTTAAGAGGGTCCCAAATGGTACATAGTGTTTTTTAAAAAGTCAAAGGTAAACTGTGTGTACCTGATATCAATCTATGCTACAAGGCTACAGTAATTGAAAAGGCATGGTACTGGCATAAAAACAGACACATTGATCAATAGAAGAGAAGAGAGCACCCAGAAATAATCCAATGCCTATATGGCCAATTAATCTATGACAAAGGAGTCAAGAATATACAATGGGGTACACAGTCTCTTCAATAAATGGTGCTGGGAAAACTGGACAGACACATGCAAAAAAATAAAACTAGACCACCTTTTCATACCCTATACAAGAATATACTCAAAATGGATTAAAGACTTAAATGAAAGACCTGAAACCATAAAACTCCTAGAAGAAAACACAGGCTCTAAACTCTCTGACATTGCTCTTAGTAATATTTTTTTGATATATCTCTTTGGGGAAGGGAAACAAAAGAAAAAATAAACAAATAGGACTACATCAAACTAAAAGGTTTTTGCACAGCAAAGGAAACCATCACCAAAACGAAGATAACTTACTGACATTGGAGAAGACATTCACCAATGATACAATGATAAGGGGGTTACTATCCAAAATTTATAAAGAATTCACACAACACCAAAAAAAACAAACAATCCAATTAAAAAATGGGCAAACGACCTGAATAAAAGAGGTCTCTTTTCAAAGAGGACATACAGATGGCCAACAGATATATGAAAAGATGTTCAAGTTACCAATCATCAGAGAAATGCAAATTAAAACCAAAATGAGATACCACCTCATACCTGTCAGAATGGCCATCATCAATAAATCAACAAACAAGCATTGGTGAGGAAATGTGGAGAAAAGGGAACCCTTGTGGAGAAAAGGGAACCCTTGTGCACTGTTGGTGGAATTGCAGATTGATGTAGCCACTATGGAAAACAGTATGGAGGTTCCTCAAAAAATTAAAAATACAACTACGTTAAGACCCAGCAATTCCATTTCTGGGTATTTAGCCAAAGAAATCCAAAGCACTAATTCAAAAAGATATTTGCACCCCTATGTTCACTGCAGCATTGTTTACAATAGCCAAGGTATGGAAGTAACCTAAATATCCATTAATAGACAACTGGATCAAGAAAATGTGGTACATATATATACCATGGAATATTAGCCATAAAGAAAGAATGAAATCTTACTATTTCCAACAACATGGATAGACCTAGGGGGTATTATGCTAAGTGAAATAAGTCAGACAGAGAGACACAAGTACCATATGACTTCACTTATATGTGGAATCTAAATACATAAATAAACAAACTCATAGATATGGGGAACAAACTGATGGTTACCAGATAGGAGAGAGGTTGGGGGCTAGATGAAAAAAGTGAAGGGATTAAGAAGTAGAAATTGGTAGTTACAAAATAATCATGGGGATGCAAAGTACAGCATAGGGAATATAGTCAATAATACTGTAATAACTTATGTGTGGTGCCAGGTGGGTACTAGACTTATTGGGGCATCACCTCATAAGTTATAGAAATGCCCAACTATTATGCTGTACACCTGAAACTAATATAATATTGAATGTCAACTGTAATTGAACAAAATTTTAAAAGAAATAAATGAAATAATCTGTCAAATACAAAAAGAAGGTCAATTCTGTGGCTTGGAGGAGGATTCTGACTAACAAAGAAAGAACTGCTGTTTATTTGAAGACAATGGTTGCCAATCCCAAGTATTAATACAAAACTCCCAGGCCCCTTACTATCATCACCGTCATCGCTGCCGTGACGCTGGTAGCAGGGGTGGGAGTCTGTGCTGGGTCAGACAGTTCTAATTCAGAGTCAGATCTGAAACCACTTGCTTCACTGTCAGGCACTCACCATGCACAGCCTGTAAGCTGCAAGCAGGATTACTTGCTCAGACAGATGTAAGGGAATTGGCTGAGTCCCCTCTAGACTCAGCTGAGAAAGGCTGTTTAATGTCAAAAAAATTTGAGGAGGGTGGGGACAGGCTAAGCTCAGAAATTACTGTGGGGCCTTGTTATAACTTGGCTACTCTTCACCTCAGTCCAACATCATAAAGTGACATGGGTCAGGCAGATAAGAACAGAACAGACAATGGAGGCACAATAGCCCAGGCAACACTATTATGGTAATAAGAAAAGATGAAGCACTCCCTTAAAGTATTTCATTCAGTCAAAACAGTGACTTCTTGGGCTCAGGTCAAGCACTCCTCCCTACAGAGAATTTTGAAAACCACCACAGTAAGCAATGAGGCAAGCCTCAGCCAGTTTCAAACCTTGCAGCTCGATATCCTAAGCTCACAAAAATCTGACCATCTAAAAGCTTTGGCCTAAGAAACAGGCTTCGGGCAGGCTGAGTGGCGCATTGGTTAAGAGTTGGCTTGGGACGCCAGCTCTGAGCAGCAGGGCCCCAGTTCGGATTTCACATGGGCCAGTGACGCTGCACCCTCCACGGCTAAGATGGTGAACAACAGCTTGGCCTGGAGCTGGGCTGCCATGAGTCGCCAGCAACGATGTAAGCTGCAATGAGCTGCCATAAGCTACCGTGAGTGGCCAGTGGCCAGTGTGAGCTGCCAAGAGCCGCCGTGAGCAACTGTCCAATGGCCGGCAACCGATCTGCCTCACCTGGGAAGAGCACAATGATCACAATACCAACATGGGCCAGTGAAGCCACGTCCTCCACAACTAGACTGAAGAACAAAAGGACAGCAACTTGTCTGTTCCCCTTCCCCCAATTCCCCAACGCTGTTCCCCTCCCCCAGTTCCCAATAAAAAAAATTTTTTAAAAAAGAACTGGGCTCAATTAGCAGAGATGCCCAGCAGTACAGGGATGAATGGTTAACTATAAAATTATCTGTCTTGAAAAAATAAAAATAAAAAATAAAATAAAATAATCTGTCTTACATTGTAATTAAGAGGCTGCATACTAAAAATAAAGTATATGAAGAAAACCTAAACACAGTGAACCTGAAATCTAATAAACAAAAAATTATGCTATGTTTTGTAATAATTGGTTACAAAAATAACATTGAAATACAGCATAATGTTCAATTTCTTGAGTTGGGTGAGGTGTAGATGGGAATTCATTTTATTGTTCATTATGTACATACGAGTCTCCTGGGTACCTTGTAAAATTGCAGATACATACATACACACACACATTCCATGTGTATAGTTGAACATTTTTAAACATGAAAACACCAAAATGAAGGTGATCCTGTCTTGCCAAATTAAACAGGACTATGGCCCAAGAAGTTAGAAAAAGGGAGTTAAAAAGAAAACATCTATTTCAGTGACACTGGAAAAGGGCTCCCTAGAAAATAAAGTGGGTGTATAAAGCAGGTACACCGTGTTAGGGAATCGGGTGAGTAAAGACTGCAGAGCTGGATGGAAACCGGCATTAAGGACATTCAAGACAAGGCTCCAAAACTCTAGCTCAGACTACGGTTTGGGTTTCCAATAGTGACCAAAGGGGTCGGCGTCTTCTGGCATTTCTCTCATTGTAAATACAGTTATATTTTATAAACTACAATCTCTAAACTTGTTAGTATAATTCAAGAGGATCTCTGAGCAAATGGATAAAAAAATGAGTTTCTGGGCTTACAAAGCTGAGGATAAGATCTCTAAGGTAGGAGTGACACAGAGATGCCATCCTG